TATCTTTTACCATGATTTTTTTTTTTTGACACTCAGTCTTGCTCTGTCACCCAGGCTGGAGTGCAATGGTGCGATCTCCGCTCACTGCAATCTCCGCCTCCCGGGTTCAAGTGATTACCCTGCCTCAGCCTCCCAAGTAGCTGGAACTACAGGTGCCTGCCACCATGCCCAGCTAATTGTTTATATTTCAGTAGAGACAGGGTTTCACCATGTTGGCCAGGATGGTCTCGATCTTTGACCTCATAACTTGGCCTTCCTAAGTGCTGGGGTTACAGGTATAAGCCACCATTCCTGGTTGTTGTAAGAGTTGCTTTAAAAGAAAAAAAAGGCCAGGCGCAGTGGCTCACACCTGTAATCACAGCACTTTGGAAGGCCGAGGCGGGCGGATCACCTGAGGTCAGGATTTTGAGAGCAGCCTGGCCAACATGGTGAAACTCCCTCTCCACTAAAAATACAAAAATCTCTTAGCCAGGCGCTGTGGTACACACCTATAATCACAGCTACTCGGGAGGCTGAGGCACGAGAATCACTTGAACCCAAGAGACAGAGGTTGTGAGCCAAGATCACACCACTGAACACCACTGCACTCCAGCTTGGGCGACAGAGTAAGACTCCATCTCAAAAAAAAAAAGGAAAAAAGGGGGGGTTGCCGGGTGTTCACGCTTGTAATCCTAACACTTTGGGAGGCTGAGACAGAAGGATCATGCGAAGTCAGGAGTTCGAAACCAGCCTTGCCAACATGATGAAACCCCATTTCTACTAAAAATACAAAAATTAGCCGGGCATGGTGGCACATGCCTGTAATCCCAGCTACTTAGTAGGCTGAGGTAGGAGAATGGAGGTGAAGGTTGCATGCAGTGAGTCGAGATCGCACCATTGCACTCCAGCCTGGGCAACAAGAGCAAAACTCCGTCCAAAAAAAAAACAAAGAAAAGAAAGAACACCAGGCACGGTGGCTCACACCTGTAATCCTAGCACTTTGGGAGGCTGAGGCGGGCACATCACCTGAGGTCAGGAGTTCAAGACCAGCCTGACCAATATGGTGAAACCCCGTCTTAAAAAAAAAGAAAAGAAAAGAAAGGAAGAAAGAAAAAAGCCAGGGAGGGGACTAGGCATGGTGGCTCATGCCTGTAATCTCACACTTTGGGAGGCCCAGGTGGGCAGATAACAAGATTAGGAGTTTGAGACCAGCCTGGCCAAGACGGTGAAACCCCATCTCTCTCTACTAAAAACACAAAAATTAGCCTGGCATGGTGATGCGAGCCTGCAGTCCCAGCTACTCGGGAGGCTGAAGCAGGAGAATCACTTGAACCCAGGAGGTGGAGGTTGCAGTGAGTCAAGATCATGCCACTGCACTCCAGCCTGGGTAACAGACAGGCTCTCTCTAAAAAAAAGGAGAGAAAGAGACACTGAGAACTGTGCCTGGCACATAGTGGGTCCTGTATAAGCATTATTTCCCATGACTATATTATGTGCTTGATCTAGACCAGCACTATCTGCAATGAGGGAAGTATTCTATAAGCTGTGCTGTCCAGCAGGCCAGTGCTAGCAACACGTGGCTACTGAGCACCAGAAATGTTGATAGCGCAAACAAGGAAGTGAATTTCTCATTTTATTAAGTTATAATTATCATAGCATCAGTGGCTAATGGCTATTCTATTAGATAGTATCGCTCTAGATACTTTCACCCAAACCTCATAATGACCCCAATGAGGCACGTATTAGCCCTATTTTAAAGATGGGAAAGGCTAAGTGAGTTATCTAAGGCCATAAAAATCAAGCCCATGACTCTCTGACCCAGCAGGGAAACCAAAAACAATTTGCCTGGCTCCAAAGCCTATAAAGTAATCTCCCCGTTTATTCAGTTTTGCTTTCCATGGTTTCAATTATCCATGGTAAGGTACAAGTAAGATACTTTGAGAGAGGACACGTTCACCTAACTTGTATTACAGCATGTTGGCATAACTGTTCCACATTCTCATTGTTATTAACCACATATGCATACTTTATAAGTTAAACTTCATCAGAGATAGTATATACAGGGAAATAAAGCAGTTTCAGGCATCCACTGGGGGGGTTCTTAGAATGTACCCCCAAGGAAAAAGGGGAAATTGGTGTACTATTTTCACCATTTCAAGCTGTTTCTCTTGGTAGAAGGATGCGTTTGAACATAAGGAAAGTCCAGGACTTCCCTTAAGGAAGCGCCAAGTAAGGCTTCCAAAGGAGGGTACTGTTCAACACTGGGCAGAAAAGGCCACTAAGCAGCAGAGAAGACGGGCTAAAAGAGGAGGTAAATGAGACAGAGGACTATCCCTCTCCTCACGTCCTTGGTCTCCCCAACTTCCACTGTCTCTGCCATCTACTTGCCTAGTCGATCCATAGCCTTCTCAGTCTCTCTCTCCCGACTGGAGTAGTCAACTGTAGCAAAGTCAGCCTGCAGGAAGAAGAAATGATTACCAAGGACTTGGGTATCTGGGAGATGCCCAGTATTCAGCTATTGTCTTTCAACTTCACCCACTCTTCCATACTCCCCTTGGTGATGCGGGGCTGGGACTCTGCCACCCACTTTTCTGCTTTGCCCTGTTAAACTGGGCAAGGCTGGAGGGAGAGGGGCCTTGTTCCTTTCTAGTCATGTAGGCATCACCTCAGGACACTTCACTGTGGTGGCAGGGATGCCTTCCTATAGCAGCCACAGAATCCGGTACACAGTTCTGAGAACTCTTGCAGAGCCAGCCTCAACACTGAGCCTTTTCTTTAAAGGTCTGGGTCCCAGGACCCTCCTCCAAGCTCAGAGACCCCTACACCAGCTGGGGCAGTGCCTCCTCCTTAAAGGTTGGAATTTCAGCTCTGCAGAGCCTTTACTCTAAGCTTTTAAATTTTAATCAACTTCATCTCTTTGTTCCTTCAGCCACAGGGTTGGTAGCTGTTCCCTGCAGTTGCCACCTCCATTTCCATGTTTTACCTTTTCAGTTACTTAATAACTTTATAGCAACTCTATCAAATTGTTTCCTCACTGACACATTGAGGTGGGGAAGCTTTAGTTCCTCTGCAATGCTGAGCACTGAAGGCAATATTTCTAATCTAACTGAAGACCTTCCCACACAGCCAACCAAATGCTTCTCTGCTCCCATCACTCAGTTCTTGGAACCCTATGACCTCCAAGACCTCTTTCTAAAGAAAAACAAAATATTTCCACCTGTATAAAAAGACCTGATTCTGGCTGGGGGCAGTGGCTCACACCTGTAATCCCAGCACATTGGGAGGCCAAGGTGGGTGGATCACAAGGTCATAAGATCGAGACCATCCTGGCCAACAAGGTGGTGAAATCCCATCTCTACTAAAATTAAAAAAATTAGCCAGGGGGGGTGGTGCACGCCTGTAGTCCCAGCTACTCAGAAGGCTGAAGCAGGGGAATCAGTTGAACCCTGGAGGTGGAGGTTGCAGTGAGCCCAGATCATGCCATTGCACTCCAGCCTGGCAACAGAGACTCCGTTTCAAAAAAAAGAGACCTGATTTTGATCACAGCCCTGCCACCCATTCAGAGTGTGGCCTTGAACACATCACTTCAATTACCATGCCTAAGTTTGCTTCTCCAGAAATTGGGGATGACTGTTGTAACCCTGCAGGGGGCTGATGAGGTACCATTTATGAAACATGGAATGTAGCAAGAGTGTAACATTTCTTGAATTTAAATTCACCTTTTCTGCTACATCTGAACTGCACTTGGCACCTGCTCCAATCAGAATTCATTATGTAGTCATGTCTGTGTTTAATCATTCAATTCCACCCCCTGTAGTCAGTGACAACCGCTGGTCATTGAAGCCCAAGGAGAAGTCAGACCTCTCACCTAAATCACTGCCACGGCCTTCTAACCATCTTCTCATCCAGTCATCTGGCCCAGCGTTACAAAATTAATCATTACTCTGCTCAAAACCTTCAACAGCCCTCCACTGAGGGAGCACAGAATTAGCCATGGCATTCACACGTCCCCTCCTCCCCCACTCCCATCAACCTGTTGAGCATAGTGCTCTGCATGCTCTGGGACCCAACTCCAAGCCATGTGCCCTGCACTTTTTCATCTCCACGCCTCTGCAACCACCACCAGCCTCTCACCTTTATCCCTTCCTGCTGTGCCCTGACAAAATTAGTCCCATTCTGTTCTGCACTCCAAAGTAATTTGCTTTATAAGTGTCGCTGCATTTTTCATATCTTACTTTGGCTGAGTACCATCTTTGAGGCATCATTCATCCAGTCAGTATGTCTATCTCCTGTGCCAGGCACTATGCTAGGCTGGACAAACAGCCCTAACAGAGGGTTCCTACTGTCCAGCGGCTCACCATCAGTCGGGAACTGACTGTAAACAAGGACAGGTGATGACTGTAATAACGGTCTCGGGAAAACCGTGAGCTGTCTAACGTACATGAAAACAAGTTTCTGGAAACCCTGCGTCAAACAGGGCCTTTTTGGTTTCAGTAAGGAGAAGGGAGAGCGCGCACGTGACATCATCTGGGGCTCAGGGTTAGCGGACATTCCCACCAACGGACAGAGGTCCACAGGTCCGTCAACTCAAGTCCCTCTCCTCACCGCCCTCACCTGGCCCTCGCCCAGGCTCCTGGCAGCGGGCCCCGGCTCTCGGTCACCAGCGTCCCCTTCCATTTACTAAATCTGCAGCGGAGCCCGGCGGGGGGACAGCCCTCCCTCCCGACCCAGCGCGCCCACCCACGGCCTCTGAGTTCCCAGTCCCGCAACACCGCGGCCCCTAGGCCTGGCCGTTTTCAGCTCGAGCGCGAGCCCAAACGGCGCTCGGTGTCGCGGGGCGGCCCGAGGTCGGCCTGAGGCGCTTCCCCCGCCCGGCGGCCCCCGCCCAGCCCGGCCCGTGAGCCCCGCGACCCCCAGCCCCAGGCTGCGGCTGGCTGTAGCGCCCAGCCCCCACGCGATGCTCACCTCCGGGCTGGGGGTCGCCTCCCGCGCGCTCTGCAGCGGCGAGCCCTGAGACGGCTCCGCGGCCCCCTGCGCCTGGGCCCCGGCGGCCTGAGGGTCCATGCCGGCTGCCCACGGGTCGGCGCCCTGGACGCCGTGGCCCACGTGACGCACCGGCCCGGCTACCGCCCTGAGGATCCGCCGTAGAGGGGCCAATCAGGTTGGGGGGGGGTCCCGGCTGAGGAGGCGGGGCGCAGGGGGAGGGTCAAGAGGAAACGGGGGCGGGGCGGCGCAGGAGGCGGGGCGCGCGGCCTCACAGAGCCCTCCCCTCCCTCTCCCGCGCGAAATGTGAAACAATCTCCCGGACTGATTTTGGTAACACCTCCCCGTGCAGATCCTAAGGCTGGACGACTAGCTGGGAGCGAAACGCCAAGCGTGTCCTACGCGGCCCCTCGGGGTGTGCTCCAGCTTTAAAACCTCTTGTGGGTAAGACACATCAGCAACCTAGTGACCTCTGCCTTGAGCTAATGTCGTCTTCGAAGTTAATCCATTAGAAACCACGATAGATGATTAAAACACAAACTACAATGTGCGGTGGACACAGAATACAGGCCACGACGCTTCTCATAACCCTAACATTCGGGGCTCCTGTATTTTGACGCTCAACGCCTGATACTCGACAACCTCATTATTTTCCTTTTTGCCTCGAAAGGTGGCTTCTGGGGATAGGCAGGGCCTGAGCTAGGAACAACCCAAATGGAAAGACAGCCTTCCCTGCCTTTCCCACAGTACCTAACCTCAAACAAATCAGCTTAAAGTGTGCCCATTCCATCAACACATGAGAGACCCTCTTCCTTCATCCCCTCAAAGACTATTGTTTGTACAGTACAAACGGCATCTGTAAAAATTTAGCATAAAACTGACACACAATGTTCAATTTTATGTTTTTTTCTCTATGCAGATGTTCCTACACAGGAGTCAGTGTCCCCAAGGCGAACTGCCTCTAGGTCATTAATGTCCAGTAGAACCTTCTTTAATGGTGGAAATAAAAGTTATACTATCTGTGCTGTCCAATATGGTAACCATATACCTGCTGAGCACTTGAAATGTGACCAGTGTGAATGATAAACTGAGTAATTGTAATAAATTGCTACATGTGCATAGGAGCTACTCTTTCTAACAGTGCAACTCTAGGTTTACCAGCTAGATGCATTGTCATAACCTGCAATAGTTAGAATCAGATATAGGGATGTGATGACACCAGGTGGCCACCTTTATAGCCTTGTGTTAAGGAGACTACCACTATCCTCTTTGCTCCCTACTCTGTACAACACATATCTCTCTTGTAAATAAAGTTCCAAATAAGATTTAGAATGTGAAACTTCCAAAGACTTAATTAAGGGAGAGGAAAAAGAGGATTTTTTTTCTTATTTTAAAACAAATGACAAGAAAACAGTACAAAAGTTCAAAATACAAATGTTCCAAAATAGACTCTAATATTCAAAGAAATTTAATATATAATAAAGATAGGCTGGGCACGTCGGTTCACACCTGTAATCCCAGCACTTTGGGAGGCCGAGGCAGGTGAATCACAAGGTCAGGAGTTCAAGACCAGCCTGGCCAACATGGTGAAGCTCCATTGTCTACTAAAAATACAAAAAAATTAGCCAGGCATGGTAGCGCGTGCCTGTAATCTCAGCTACTTGGGAGGCTGAGGCAGAGAACTGGTTGAACCCAGGAGATGGAGGTTGCAGTAAGTTGAGATGGCGCCCCTGCATGCCAGCCTGGGCGACAGGGTGAGACTCTCGTCTCCATAAATAAATAAATAAACACACAAATAAAATAATTTACCTTTATTTTGTGTGTTTATTTATTTATTCGTAATGTAATGTTAACATTACAAATCAGCAGAGAGAAAAATAACCAGCCAAACGGTGTTGGAAAAATTAATTGCTTGGCGAAAAAGACAGTTGTTATCAGCACCAGAAAGAACTTTCAAGCATTTTAAAAACAGATATCACAGGTGCACGCGCACACACATATGCACATAAGCGCTCACACTCACACACACACACAAATACCCCAGGGCATCAAAAATTGCCACAAAAGGCACCTGTAATCCCAGCTACTTGGGAAGCTGAGGGAGGGAGAAGTACTTGAACCCAGAAAGCAGAGGTTGCAGTGAGATGCACTCCACTGGATCCACTGCATTCCAGCCTAGCCCACAGGGCGAGACTCCGTCTCAAAAACAAAAAAATTACCACAAAAAAAAGCTGGGAGTAAAATTATTTGCACTGCTGGGCGTGGTGGCTCACACCTGTAATCCAAGCACTTTGGAGGCCAAGGCGGGTGGATCACCTGAGGTCGGGAGTTCAAGACCAGCCTGACCAACATGGTAAAACCCTGTCTTTAAAAAAAAAAAAAAGGTAAAATTATTTGCAACAAATGAAAAACAAGACATTCATATACTTAATATATTTCTAAAAACTCTGGGTCAGTGCAGTAGCTCTTGCCTGTAATCCCAGCACTTTGGGAGGCCAACGCGGGTAGATCACAAGGTCAGGTGTTCGAGACCAGCCTGGCCAACATGACGAAACCCTGTCTCTACTAAAAATACAAAAAATTAGACAGGCGTGGTGATAGGCACCTGTAATCCCAGCTACTCGGGAGGCTGAGGCAGGAGAATCAATTGAATCCAGCAGGTGGAGGTTGTTGCAGTGAGCCGCTGCACGCAGCATGGGCAACAGTCTCCAAAACTCTGGCCAGGCACAATGGCTCATGCCTGTAATACCAGCACTTTGAGAGGCTGATGTAGGATTGCCTGAGTCCAGCAGTTTAAGAGACCAGCCCTGGCAATTTAGCAAGACCCAACTCTACAAAAAAATGTAAAATTAACTAGGTATGATGGTGTGCACCTGTAGTCCCAGCTACTCAGGAGGCTGAGGCAGAAGGATCACCTGAGCCTAGAAGTTAAGGCTTTAGTGAGCCATGATCACACCACGGCACTCCAGCCTAGGTAACAGAGCAAGACCCTGTCCAGTTAAAAAAAAAATTAACTCTTATAAATAAATTCGTAAGAAAAAAGTTTTCAAAATAGGCTAGCTGGGCATGGTGGTTCATGCCTGTAATCCCAGCACTGTGGGAAGCTGAGGCGGGTGGATCACAAAGTCAGGAGTTCAAGACCAGACTGGCGAAGATGGTAAAACCCAGTCTATACTAAAAATACAAAAATTACCCAAGGGTGGCACCTGTAATCCCAGCTACTTTGGGATGCTGAGGCAGAGAACTGCTTGAACCCAGGAGGCAGAGGTTGCAGTGAGCCCAGATTGTACCACTGCACTCCAGCCTGAATGACAGAGACTCCATCTCAAAGAAAAAAAAAAGGATGTGAAAAGATGAGGAACACAAAATATACTAACTTCACTAGTATCAAAGTATGTTAAAACAATGATATATCACATTTCATCTATAAAATGGTAAAAGATAAAAACTGTAATTACAACAGTACAGGTTAGGATATTAATACTTTCATCTATTGCTTGAAAGGAGCAGATTGGCAATATATATCAATGTTCTCTAAAAGCAATATCCTTTAATCCAATAATTCCACTGTCAAATGTCAATCTCCTAAAGAAATAGCCAGGTATGTGAATGAAGATTGACAAGAATCTTCATCAATAGCATAGTTATAATTTTTTAAAAAATTAGAAATGACAGAGTCCAACCAGAAAATTAGCAAAATAAATTATGGCTCATTTTTACAATGTAATGTTATGAATTCATTAAATGTTTTTAAGGCTATTTAATGACACAAAAAAGCAACCCTAAGTGAAATGTAACATTAAGCTACACTGAATGCTTCTCCCAGTAACATCATGTTAAGCTAAAGGGTACAATTCAAACAGCTGCCTCCTGCTCCTGGAATGCTCTCTTATTTTTTTGCCTCAAGCCTGCCTTCCACTCTTCACTGCTAAGGCTTCTCTGCACTTGAATCTATTCCCTACCCTCTTCCCTTCTTTTGTTGCTGGGTTGCCTCAATGCAAACACTTTTCTGATCATCAGTCTCAGAAGACAGAAGACACTTTTATATGGTTTTAACCTTTTTTTTTTATTCAATTGGCTATTTTATTTATGTATTTATTTTATTGCATTTTAGGTTTTGGGGTACATATGAAGAACATGCAAGATAGTTGCGTAGGTACACACGTGTTAGTGTGATTTGCTGCCTTCCTCTCCTTCACCTATATCTGGCATTTCTCCCCATGCTATCTCTCCCCAACTCCCCACCCCCCACTGTCCCTCCCCTATTCCCCCCAACAGACCCAGTGTGTAGTGCTCCCCTCCGTGTCCATGGGTTCTTGTTCACTCATTGTTCAACACCCATCTATGAGTGAGAACATGTGGTATTTCATTTTCTGTTCTCTGTCAGTTTGCTGAGAATGATGTTCTCCAGATTCATCCATGTCCCTACAAAGGACACGAACTCATCGTTTTTGATTGTTGCATAATATTCCATGGTATATATGTGCCACATTTTCCCTGTCCAGTCTATCATCGATGGGCATTTGGGTTGATTCCAGGTCTTTGCTATTGTAAACAGTGCTGCAATGAACATTCGTGTGCATGTATCCTTATAGTACAACGACTTGTAGACCTTTGGATATATACCCAGTAATGGGATTGCTGGGTCAAATGGAATTTCTATTTCTAGGTCCTTGAGGAATCGCCACACTGTCTTCCACAATGGTTGAACTAATTTACACTCCCGCCAGCAGTGTAAAAGTGTTCCCATTTCTCCACACATCCTCTCCAGCATCTGTTGCCTCCAGATTTTTTAATGATCGCCATTCTAACTGGCATGAGATGGTATCTCAATGTAGTTTTGATTTGCATTTCTCTAATGACCAGTGATGATGTGGTTTTAACCTTCTTGATGGACTTTTCACAATATCCAGCACTTCGTTTTTTGCTGATCCAATCAGCTTTCTTAGGACATTCAGCTGGTTTTGCAACCCCCACTTCTATCCCTAAAGACCTCCCTTCTTTCCTGTACATATGGGCACTCAAATATTTCTTGAATGAATGAATGGGTAAATAAGTATAAATCCAATTTCGATAAAGAAAATCAAATTACTGAGTTTAACTCAGGATAGAGTACAGGATGCTTTTGCTTTTATCACTATTCTGTTTCCTCCATTATTTTCCAGAACAAATGCATACCATGTATCTTTTATAATGAGAATAAACCAACAAAACTATAATTTATCCTTCATTTCTTTGGTTGTTGTGTGTGCATGCTTTTTTTTTTGAGTTTTGCTCTTGCTGCCCAGGCTGGAGTGCACTAGTGTGATCTTGGCTCACTGCAACCTCCACCTCCCAGGTTCAAGCAATTCTCCTGCCTCAGCCTCCCAATTAGCTGGTATTACAGGCACTCACCACCATGCCCAGCTAATTTTCATATTTTTAGCAGAGAATAGGTTTCACCATATTGGCCAGGCTGATCTCCAACTCCTGCCCTCAAGTCATCCACCCACCCTGGCCTCCTAAAGTGCTGGAATTATAGGCGTGAGCCACTGCACCTGGACACTCTCCTTCATTTTAACTGGCTCCTAGATTGAGATTAGAGGTACTCATGCTTGACCTGGGATAGTAAATAAAACCCAGTCATATGCTTTCATGTATTTTGGAAAACATTTAGGACCTGTGGTAGATCTGGCCTCAACATTAAATCAGCAGTTGTCTTTCCTGGAATTAGAGATTAGCACATCAAGCTGAACACGGTGTCATGCACCTATACTCCCAGCTACTCAGGAGTCTGAGGCGAGAGGTCACTTGAGTTCAGGAGTTCAAGACCAGCTGGGGCAAAAGAACAAGACCCCATCTCAATCACAATTTTTTTATTATTATTTTTAAAAAAGACTAACAAGCTAACATAAAATTAAAGTGTATCTCGAAACTAGACAGCCATCTTGTCTGCCATCACTGAGCAAATTACAGATGGACTCATAATACAAATTTGCCCACAGGGCTTGCTTGCAATACTGTTTCACAAAGCTGGCTATATTCTTCCTCTT